ATGATGGGCTAAGGCAAGTTAGAGAGCAAGAAGGAATTCCTGAATTAGAAGAGGAAACGGAGGTAGAAGAAACTGATCATGGAGAGGATGTGAAAGAGGATAGGACCAAAATCCCTCACAATTTTGATAAAGATGAAGTTGTGGTGGAAGACGTCGACGATGACGACGACGACGACGATGATGATAGCGATGAGGAAGAAACGGATGATGAACATGAAAATGCTCCCCATATTCATGAATTACTATCTAAACCCAACCAAACCACAACAGTCGCAAAGGCACAGAATGTAGGCCAACTCAGCAATAAAGAGACGGCAGTTGCCGATCCTGAAGCAAAAGAGGAAACACCTGGATTCACTGTTTATGTGAATAGAAGGCCTACAAGTATGTCGGAAGTTATTAAGGAACTTGAAAGTCAGTTTATGATTGCTTGTACTTCTGCTAAAGAGGTGTCGGCTGTGTTAGAGGCTATCAGGGCTCAGTACTCATTGCAGTCGAATGATCTGTCACGTAAGGTTTTTGCATAAATGCTTACTTCACAACATTTATCTGATTTTCTTGTTCTTCATGACTATTCATTCTATGAACAAAGATATATTTATTGATGGCATGGTGCCACATATTCCAAAATGTATCAATGCAGTGAAACAACCGTCACATTATATTAGCATGTTCAAATTTCAACGAGTCCTGCGTGTTCCTAGTAGCATGGAAAGGCTAGTTTTATGGCTTTTTAGATCTGGAATTTTCTTCGAGGTCTCTTGTCAAAATTAACTGATGTATTTCAGGAGAAATGTGCTAGATTCAACATAACAGTATACCATTGGATTGTACGAGAAGACACTGAGTTTCTTTATGCATGAGCGATCTAAAAGGAAGAATTTTCTTTCACTTTGAAGCTCCATGTTCTTCAGATGTGATGATGTGCTTCCTATAGAAGTTTCTTTACGTCATTTTCTCAAGCAAACAATAGAGAAGTCATCACTAGTAGAAGCAGTGACCATTTTTTCTATGTTAGAAGAATTAAGCTCCTGCTTATTTTTTCTGATTGTCATCAATTAATCCTAGTACCTCAGATTTCTTATTTAAAGACATGGTCCATATTTTTTGGTTAAAGTTATGAAGTATTGATGTTGGAATGCTAATGAGCTTAATTTTGTTTTGCAGCCATGAAAATGTTGAATCCAGTAGCTCTATTTCGCTCGGGGTCATCAAGATCATCCTCTTCAAGATTTTTGATTAATCCTTCAACTTTAAGAGATGAGGGTTATCAGAGCAGTAGTGATGTGTCTGATGAATCCAACATTTTCTCAAGCAGTCATCAATCAACCTTAGACAGATTATATGCTTGGGAGAAAAAACTTTATGATGAAGTCAGGGTATGATCTTGCTGCTAAAACACTTAAAGATATAAGTCAATTTCAACTAGTTTCTGTTTAAAAGTAGGATGAGTCTCTTAACCTTTGGGAAGAGAAGAAATCAAATATGACTCTTGAGCGAGAAGAAAAATTATCTTTGTTCATAAGACATGCATGTATGAATAAAGTGAATGAGTGCATGAATTACCTTCACTTCAACCAGTTGGAAAGAAAATGAATCCAAATATGACCCTTGTGTAAGAAATCAAATATGACTCTTGAGCGAGAAGAAAAATTATCTTTGTTCATAAGACATGCATGTATGAATAAAGTGAATGAGTGCATGAATTATCTTCACTTCAACCAGTTGGAAAGAAAATGAATCCAAATATGACCCTTGTGTAAGAAGAATAATTATCACTGTTTATTCCCAAAATAACCGGAAAATGCAAGACATGCATGCGTGTAAGAAATAAATGACATTTTGGTTTAAAATTTCTTTTAACATGTTAGTTAATCTGACCTCCCAAACATGTTTTTTCTTAAGTAACATTATCCTGTTAACCTAATGAGTCCAAGATGTTAATTGTGGGGATCAGTCCTTTACTGTTGACTGTTGTAATGTTCAATAGGCAGGTGAGCGTGTCCGGCTAGCGTATGAGAAAAAGTTGGCACAACTCAGAAATCAAGATGTGAATGGAGCAGATCCGTCATCTTTGGATAAAACAAGAACAGTCATTAGGAATCTGGATACTCAGATAAAGGTTTCAATCCACTCCGTTGAATCTATTTCAAGAAGGATTGAAACTTTAAGGGATGAAGAACTGCAGCCTCAGCTTTTAGAATTAGTGCAAGGGTATGTATCTGATATCCCTGTTACTAAGGTTCTTCAGCTATATCTATACTTGTCAACTCATTCCAATGCTACGATTATGTACATTAAACATATTTACAAAAAGATTTTTATTTGGAAAAACTTGAAAATGTTATTTAACGCAAAAATCAGGTATTATCAAAGAAAAAAAAACTTATGGAGCTTCTAAAGACAGTTTACCTTGTTAAACAAATTGTTACCATCACAGATCATTATTATCAGTTTCTCAGTAAAAGACAAAGTAACAGCAAAAGAGCTCCACCTATTTGATTTTTAGTTGCACTTCACTGTCTACTGGAGTTGTTTGCGATTCTTATCAGATATATCTTTCACATCAAGCTCCCTAAATATCAAATTTTCCAGAAGGACCTCAAAAGTCTTGAGTTTCTTGCACATTTAGAGCTTCAGAGACTCTTTTCCGTCGGTTTCTATTGAAATTTAAAAGATATACCGTTCTCAATTTGTTTTTTTCAGACAATTATGATTTGGAGCTAAACCTTGTTATCAATTAGCTGCTAAATAGGGATGGCAATTGGGGCGGGGCGAGGCAGGGCAAACGCTAAACGGGGCAGGGCAGGAGAACATATAAATGGGGCGGGACAGGGCGGAGCAGGGCACAACTACATTTTTGAAAAATCTTAATGGGGCAGGGCAGGTTGTAGGTCAGCCCTTAGTCCCATTAGTGGGCCATTAGGTAGTTTGAGCCTTTGAGCCCAATTCATTCCTTACATTTTTTATTGTCCATATCTTTTTTTCTTTCATAAATTGATAATTGAACCACTGAAAAGAAATGAAAGTATTAAGTGAAATAGCAAGCCATTTGAAAATTTAGACTACTGGAAAATAAAAAATAAAGAAAAAAGATGAAATTGAATCTAAACGGGGCAGGGCGGGGCAGGGCTTAATAGGGCAGGGCAGGGCGGGGCAAAATTTTGGAACAAGGCTAAACGGGGCAGGGCAGGGCGGGTTAAAATTTTAGTGGGTCAAAGATTGCCCTGCCCCGCCCCGCCCCAATTGCCATCCCTACTGCTAAAAGATTGGATTTGTAATTCAAATATCAAAATTGGGTTCTTTCTGCTATTGATCATAAACGGTTATTTGCTCTAATGTACTTTGACTTGCAACATAACCTAACCTTTTATGGCAACAACAGGTTAGGAAGAATGTGGAAGGTTATGGCGGAGTGCCACCAAATGCAGAAGCATACTCTAGATGAAGCCAAGCTCTTACTCGCTGGAACACCTTCGAAGAAGTCCGGCATGAGGAAGTATACGGTCATGTCACCTTCTGAGGCTCATAGGCTAGCCCGTTCTGCTGCTAACCTTGAGATGGAGCTCAGAAACTGGAGAGCCTGTTTCGAGTCATGGATCGTTTCTCAACGATCATACTTGCATGCTTTAGCAGGCTGGCTTTTACGATGTGCTCGTTCAGATTCTGACACATCAAAATCACCCTTGTCTCCTCCTCGTTCCACAGGAGCTCCACCAATATTCAGCATTTGCATCCAATGGTCCAGATTATTGGACTCCATCCGGGAGGCAACAGTACTTGAAGGACTAGATTTTTTCGCAGCAGGAGTAGGCTCACTCTATGCACAACAACTAAAGGAAGATTCCCGCCGTACTCCTGGTGGGTCAAAGAGTCTTGGCGGGGAATCTTTTGGGAGTATGGAGGTTGTGGAAGCTGGGCAACATGACGAGGAAATAATGACAGCAGAAAAGATGGCAGAGGTTGCCATTCGAGTGCTATGTGCAGGAATGTCAGTTGCTGTGAGCTCACTGACAGAGTTTGCCGTAGCTTCAGCTGATGGATATGCTGATTTGCTAAAGAGCTATGAGAATACCAAGCAGCCACAACAGCAATTGAATCAAAATGCAGCGTAATTTTACGTTAAAAATATTAGGTTAGGTAGGAAGGAATGCAATGTAAATTACATATTTGAGTAATTTAAGTCATATAGAGGAGCCTTAATATATATTTGTATTCAATCTGAGCTTCTGATTATGCAGAACACAGAAGGAATAGAAAGTGAAAGTAGCTTTCTTTTATCTATAAATAGCTGTAGATTTAAATCTATACCAACTTTTCAAGGTTCGTTCAATCCCATTCATATCTAAGTAAACCTTCAATCTTGCACTAAAAATGCTCCTTTTTTTTAACTCAAACAAAAAGTTATATTAAACTGAATGAGCAACCAAAAATCTTACAATTAAATTAGGACCATACTCCCGATAGAAAGAAACACCATAATTTCAAGACTCTTTTGCTAAGCAATAAGCAACTAAATTTGCTTGCCCCTTAACCAAACCAGAGAAAAAAACACTAAAACTGCTCTCAATATACTAATTCACACAATATGTTGAAAAGAATAACTTATTATAGACTCACTTAAATTAACAAGTTTTTTGTCCGACTAGTAGTAATATCTATTAAATTCCACATCTTATCTTTCCATATATATATGTACATATAAAGAAAATATAATATATATAGGCAGTCTACCCAATGCAAGCATCAATGGCTGATCCCAAGACTCGAAACCCCTAACCTATAGGTCACACGAATACAACTTGACTGTTGCTCCAATGCTTCCCTTCAATTTTTCCATGAATCAAGAAACCTAAATTTTTAGTTCATCATAAGCTGCTGGTTTTAGTTACTTTAACTCTTAAATAAGTAATTGCAGCAAAGCCTTATCCCTTAGTATATGGTTTCAGAATATAAGAAGTATCATTACAAGCTGAAATGTCATCTCATAGTAGATAACCTTTCCAAAACTCAACAGCAATTATCTTATAAGCATACAACAACATGAGGTATAATTCTTTCCATAATTCAAACTGATTATACAACTTTTGTCTAATGATCAAAATTTGACAGATTCCATTACAGAAGCATTGACAACTAATAGCTTACAAGATTACATAATCCAGAGTATATCAAGACTAAAGGGCAGCCCGGTGCACAAAGCATCCCGCATTCACGTAGGGTTCGAGGAAGGGCCGTACCCCTTGGGGTATAATATAGGCAGCCTAACTTGACACAAGCATCAAAGGCTGATTCCACGACTCGAACCCGTTACCTATAGATCAACGGAGACAACTTTATATCAAGCCCGACTGAGTTTGTTAGAACACTCGGGACACTGAAAATGTCCTCTAGCTCCACATTTAGTACAAGAAGAGGATCGTACTTTCGATTTATTCTCCAACTGAATGAAATTGAATGGTCCTCCTTTAATGACACCAGATCCTTTGCAGCTTGAACATGCTATCAGTCTCAAATCTCCACATCTTTTACACATCCCTAGTGAGCTGCCCATAGAATAAAAAAATGCATCATATAATTTAATTACCACTTTTTTAGTAAAAGATTTAAGCAGCATACAATTTACCCCGTTCTCTTTAAAGGATTTAAGTTATATATATTGATAGTATAAATAAATTTAGTCATATGTGAAAGTAGGTTAGTTATCAATTTCTACCTAGAAATTTTCTTGCAATTAGCTTATAAGCGACGTGCTTGTGCTTGAACTTGAACTTGAACTCTTTTTTGAAAACTATTAGATATGCATTATAATAACAACATACCCAGTGTAATCCTACAAGTGGGGTTCGGAGAGGATGAGGTATACAAAGATCTTACCTCTACCTTGTGTGAGGTAGAGAGGCTGTTTCCAATAGACTCTTGGCTCAAAAAAACGTTTTCCTACTAGATATGCACTATCAGGGGCGAATCTATGTAGGTGAGCGGGGGTGCGACGCCACCCGGACACCTCGGTTAAACTTTGCTTCTTTTATGTAAATATTGATATGCAAAACTTAGTACGCTGCGGACAAAGCAGTGTGACACCCGTAACCAGTGGCGAAGCCACATATTGACAAGGTCGTCGAAAAATTGCACTGTTTACATAGGTAAGATATTACATTTTAAAAGTATTTAACACATATTGAACACCCTTTGTCGGAATTTTTTCCACTTCTTTTAAATTTGAACACCCTTGGAAAAATTACTAGCTTCGCCACTGCCCGTAACCTCCTAACCCTAATCCTGGATCCACCTCTATCAGCACTATGGACTATAAACAAAAGCAGCTGGATTCTTGATAATATGAAAGAGCTATGAACTATAATTCATTAATAAGGACAATAATTGTATTCCTATCTGTTCTCTAAATGGATAAAGACCATACAAAAAAGGAAAGGCAAATGACAGAAAACTCAAAAAGGAAAAACAAGGGAAATAGAAACATATAGCATATATACCTACGCTGAGAGGCAGAGATGAAAGAATCAATTTTGGGAGCATAAACAGTGGCGCCAAGTAGAAAAGCACCCACTCCAAATCCTGCTATTTCACTTGCTGTTATGTGTTCAAACATTTCTCCTTCTTTTCTGCAGAACAAATATGCCAAAAAATAGAAAGAGATGATATTTGGAAAATAAGGCTCTCTTATCCCTTCGGGTAGAATGGATAAGATATTTTTGGATAATAGCGCAATACGAGCACATGTGCACCCGGACCCTTGGGTGCACATAAATAAGGAGAAATGCGGTTCTTTTTCGGGGTAAATTTTAAAAATATCCAGATTTATAACTGGTCGTTCAAAAATAGCTCAATTTCAAAAGTAATCGAAATTTAGCCACTTTTTATATAAAGATAAATCTGAGCGAAAACACTGTTCAAAACTCGGAAAATACTCCACTATATTATGCTGGAGTTCCAACATAAGTATACTTGAACTCCAACATATTATACTGGAGTTCCAGAATAAGTATGCTGGAACTCCAGCATAATATGATGGAGTTCCAGCATAAGTACACTAGAACTCCAGCATAATATACTGGAGTTCCAGCAAGTATATTGGTCCAGTATAATATACTGGAGTTTGGAGCACCGATGCTCCAGTCTCCAGTATATTATATTAGAGCCAGCAAAGTATACCGGTCCAGCATAATATGCTGGAGTTCATACACAAGTGCACCGAACTCCAGTATATTATACTGGACCGGTCTCTATTGCAGCAAAATAGTGGTTATTTTTCATTTGCTTGGTAAACGCTGGCTATTTTTGATCGACCAGTCCGAAAACTGGCTATACCGTGCTATTTTTATCCTTTTTCGGATCCTGCGTGGACCCGTAATGCCTTGTCCACTGACTTGTTTTTTTTTATATAAAAATAGCATCAGATAGTCATTCTAGAGGGCTGATATTTAGGAATTAGCCAATATGTTCTGAATTTCAGTTTTCCGGTTCAATTTTTCAGAACACAAAATCTTAAAATTAAAATTTTTAGTTCAAATTTTTATGATAAAATAAGTGCTGATTAATCCATAAATAGCAGCTCTAAGAATGACTATTTGTATACTTCCCCTTTGTTAGAGAAATAGAAGCCCATAGGCCATAACCTAAAGTTCAAATCTTGCAGATTTAATTTTTAGCCACCAACTTTACAATATTTTACGACACATACTTAAAGTTAAATCTCTACGGTAGGACATGGTCAATATTTTCATTTTTCTTACATATATTTATAGTAAAAGTTGGGGTATATTTTTGTTCAAGTTTACAATTTTATCATATAACATATTTGTCAATTTTTATTTTATTTTACTGTAAGTTATTTCAAAAGGAGAATGAGTAAAATGAATAAAAATCTGGTTAAAGATACAAGGTATAAAACATTTTATAAGAAAAATTCATGTTTTTCAAGATAAAACGATCAAATGAACTGAACTTTGATCAATAATGATAAAAGAAATTTATTTAATTACCTAATTTATACAGCATTCAAGCAATACAAAAATAAAGTTGAAACGCAACTAAACAAAAAAATCAAAATGATAAGCAGTGATAGGGGCGGCGAATATGAATCTCCTTTTGAAGAAATATGTTTGGAAAATGGCATTATTCACCAAACAACTGCCCCTTACTCACCGCAATCTAATGGAATTGCAGAAAGAAAGAATAGAACGTTAAAGGAGATGACGAACGCCTTGTTAATAAGTTCTGGTTTACCTCAGAACTTGTGGGGGGAAGCTATTCTTACAGCTAATCAAATACTGAATCGAGTTCCCCATAGCAAAACGCAATCCATTCCTTATGAAAAATGGAAAGTAAGGAAACCCAATTTAAAATATTTTAAAGTGTGGTGGTGTTTGGCTAAAGTACAAGTTCCTAAACCCAAAAGGGTAAAGATTGGACCAAAACCCGTTGATTGCGTTTTCATAGGATATGCAACAAATAGTAAGGCATATCGTTTTCTGGTTCATAAATCAGAAAATCCCGACATTCATACTAATACGGTAATTGAATCAGATAATGCTAAATTTTTTGAGAATATTTATCCGTATAAAATGGAATGTGAGTCGTCTAATGAAAAATCTAAGCGACCTCGGGAAGAAGCAAAAGAAAGTACTTTTGATGAGGATAATCCAAGATGTAGTAAACGTCAAAGGACAGCTACTTCCTTTGGACCAGATTTTCTTATTGGAATATGAGCCTCAAACATTCAAAGAAGCATTGACTTCCTCGGAAGCACAATATTGGAAAGAGGCAGTCAATAGTGAGATAGAATCCATATTAAGTAATCATACTTGGGAATTGGTTGATCTTCCTCCGGGAAATTAAGTTGGGTTCTAAATGGATTTTCAAGAGGAAAATGAAATCTGATGGTACTATTGACAAATATAAGGCAAGATTAGTTGTTAAAGGGTTTAGACAACGAGAAGGTTGTGATTACTTTGACACATACTCGCCGGTAACAAGGATTACATCTATCCGGGTGTTAATAGTGTTAGCCGCCGTGTATGAAACCAGGCGGTGTTCATGGCTGAAACGAACACAACAATGAGAACCAAAGACGGTTAAGGGTTGATTGTGTGACATATGGTTATCTAGGTATACACCAAAGTTCGACGGTTCAAAGATATCAAATCTACCGTTTGATCGAGTATATTCGACATATGTTCACTACGGAAAGTTCAAAGGGAAACCTACTTATCCAGATGCGATTAATCCTTACTTGCGAATCACACACAGTTTTTCATGCATATTTGTTTCGGATAGCCATTCCCCATTCATGTGGGAGATTGTTGGGTTTCGTTATTAATAACAAAAGAGATGTGAATGGAAAATGGTGGGAAAAGAAATTGAGGGAAGTGAAATTTTAAATTAGTTCACTTTACTAATGCACTTCGTCCCTCATTGGAAGAAGGAAAGAAAATCTTTGTGTATATATAGAGAAGCTCATCTTCTAGCTCTTAAAGAGTTAAGAAGAAGTGGTGCTCGCGCCGTCGTCGTCGCTCGCTCGCTCGGCTCGGCTCGGCTCGGCTTCGGCTTCGGCTTCATTGATTGATAATTTTTTTGACCAAATTTATTTTCCTTTTGCATCTTTAACATTTTCTTTTCTAAATATTTTTCGCGTTGGAAGATCGAGGAATTATTTCGCGACCAATAGCTGAATAAACACCAAAAACGTTCCATTCAATAGCTGAATAGACACCTTATCATTGAACATGCACCTTTGCACCTGTTGGGACTCAACCTTGCTGGCTATAAATAGAGAGGCTTAGCCTCATTTTCCACTACCGAAAAATCTGAAATCTCTCCCCTCAAACTTCTGCATTCTGCATTGTTTTTTCAAAAACAAAACGTAAGCATTTTGTGTGATTTGCTCTGCCATTTGAGTTCGCCGAAATTCTATAATTTGAAGTGCCGCTATCACAGAATAGTTATTCCGTTCTATACTGGGAGGAATTAATCCGCAACCTTGGGCATTGTGAGGGGATTATATTCCTTAAAGAAACACAAGAAACTTGTGGGCTCAGAATTTTTTGTGCTTTGGTTTTCTAAACTAACATTTGTTGATTTACTGTTTTTGAATACAGTGTTCTAACACTTAATAACTCAATTAATTCGAATTTCATATGCTTAAACATTTTCTATGACATTTTTTTTTTTCATTTTTAGAGGTTAAACCTAAGACCTCTTATTCATCACATAGGCAACCAATGCAAGACATATACACATATTTATCACTTAATCATAATTAGTTGATATTATTATCGCCTTAATATTAATCATTAATGTAAAAAAAAATAAAAAAAAATTGGTGTAAGTACCTGATGCACGACCGAATATTTAGATTAATACTTTAACATCAGTAAGTCACATCTTACAAATGCGACTTATAAATCGCATTTCAGAGTAACGACCTATAAATCGCATTTACGTAATGCGACTTATGAATCGCATTCCAGTATAGCGACCTATAACATTTACGTAATGCGACTTATGAGTCGCAGCTAGCTCAGCTTCAAAGATCAATAAGTCGCATCTTACAAATGGGACTTATAAATCGCATTTCAGTATAACAATCTATAATTGCGACTTATAAATCGCATTTCAGTATAGCGACCTATAAATCTCATTTAATGCGACTTATAAGTCGCAGCTAGCTCTTCAGCTTCAAAGATTATTATTAAGCGTTCTATTTTGCTCTGTTCGGTTGTACCTTTAGAAAATTTCCTTACTATTCAGTTCTAGCTAATTTTCGTTGATTTCTGTGCTCTGTTTTGTCCAAATGTATAATTTTCCGACAAATTTAAGTTATATGTATGCACTGTAATTTAATTTGTGGTTACTCACTAATCAACTCTATTAAATAGAGTTACCTATAAATAACGTTTATAATGAATTACAAGACCAAATTTTTCAAAATCTCTTTCCATATCCAGGCTGATGTTTGACCTTGGCATGAATGTGTATATTAAGGTTTATGAAACAAGCTTATTCCTCGGATTCGAGCATAGAAATGCAGGGTAAGGCTGCATACAATAGACCCTTGTGGTCCGACGCTTCCTTGGACCCTGTGCATAGCGAAAGCTTAGTGCACCGGGCTGCTCTTATTATTCGTTTATCAGTCTCGAAATAGGATGATTGTTTCTACCAGGGAAAAGAAAAATATGATTGTACATTAGTTATTTTAGCAAACTATGGAGTAATTGTTTTTCGTTTAAATTGGATGATTATGTGGAGGGACAGTTCAGTAACCACAAAGTTATAATCAGAACTTTAGTTTCACAAATTAGAATTTAATGACCACTTAACAAAATGATAAAAGAACACTGAAATATTAACTATTTTCTGCATAAACATCAGCAAGTTAAATAGTAGGAACAGCCCAATCTTTTAATTTCATTAGCCCAAAGATAAACAGACACACTAAACATTTCACTTTCCGGGTACAAAGTTGGTGGCAAAAGCCCAAGCATTGTTGGCCACTGGGTCATTAATGTGGTCGTAAAGGTTCTCGATTGGGCCTTTTCCTGTAACAATAGCCTGAACAAAGAATCCGAACATTGAAAACATTGCCAATCGTCCGTTCTTGATTTCCTTAACCTTCAGCTCAGCAAAAGCGTCGGGATCATCAGCTAGGCCAAGTGGGTCGAAGGCACCTCCTGGATAGATCTTGTCAAGACCTTCACCAAGTGGGCCTCCACCAACTCT